TGAAGAGACACGGCACATATAAGGAGATATTTTGTCTCTTTGCAAAGAGCCATTAACATTCCAAGATTGGTTCAAACAACTGGACTCCTCTTCTGTGTTGTAGATGTATCATAAATTTTCGGCCGACCCTTTGTACAACCTTTTCAAGTCTATATTTAGCAAGGAAGAAGGTTCGCCTTTCTTTCCTAAACAAAATGACGAACCTAAAATAATAATAGCTAACTTATCAAAACGGTTCCATTTATTTCAGTAACATGAGACAAACACTGATACTTTCGAGATGATAAAGGAAATTTATTATATGTCATGATTCATTTTTGATTAATTCTTATAGATATTGGCTATTTAAATCGATACGAAAAATAACTTGATAATAAATAAAATAAACGTTATTATTACTATTATTGTTGTTATTGTTTTGAGAGAGCGAGAGAGAGGGGGGAGAGGGGGGGAGAGAGAACAGCAGCATGCCAACAAAATGATACTGGAATACAAATCCAGGAAGTACAATGAATTCTTCATAACATTTAAGTCTGATAAGTGTATACCATGCACACCCATAACAGCCAAAGGTGCAAGATATGCTTACAGGTTTTAATAAAAGCAGCAACCTGCAGGTAAAACCCAGTTAGAAATACCTTCAGGTCGGTTTACTCAGTCAGCTCAGAGGGTTTCAGATTGAGGTGGTTCTGGAGTAACTAGACATGACCCCCAAGTCGCCTTGGTTGACTCATCCTTCGAAATTAAAAAAACAAAAACACACCCCTCCTGATATATGATCATGATGCTCCCTAATTATTATTATTATTTGCATTTTCCCACTTGATGTGTACTCTTTGTAACCGAGGACTTAGTGATGAAAACACTGCAGTCATTATCATAAACCTGACATTCCCATGGATACAAGAATATTCAGGACAGCTATGCGAAACAGTCTTTTAGATATATAATAGATTATTGATATTTTTTTTATTCACGAGTGATTACAGGTGTTTTAAGATAGGGGATCATGTGAAAGCAAGTCTCCTTAAAATTTCCTGCAGTTCTCCACAGTATTCTTGCTAATTTTTTTCTGAAATCTGCAACTCATTGAAAAGTTTATGAGCAGAAGGATCTCCTTGACTTGGCGATGGTGGTATTTTATTTGGACTCGAAACACGTCATGGAAATCAAGCAGCTGTATCAGTTGCAGTACTTATTCACCTCATCTTAGTATGGCACAAGGCCATATAGTTTGATAGAGTGATGAAGATTTATATGAGTCTTCCTTGAGGAATTTTCTTACCTGTAAGTTGGACTCAAACACCGACTATAATAGCAGACAATCACAAAGAGACAAAGAAGAAGAAGAAGAAGAAGAAGAAACAGCAAATTGTTTATGGTGCTGTTTGAAAGCCTGTGGTAGCAAAGTAAGCGACCCACCTCCGTTAATCTAGCCAAGAATTTCAGCCACAAGTAATTGTGGGAAAGAGTATTGTTTTTATTTATTTATTGGTGCGTTACGCTTGAGTCCATATAGTGATAACTTTTAGAGAGATCTTTGCATCAAAGAGACTCGGTATTGAGCCGAACCAAAAGTAAAGAGGAAAAGACACAGAGTGTGAATCACTTAATCAAGTAAAATGTTTAAAAGAATATTATGTGTGGAGGTAAAACTTTTCGATTCAAGTATGGTACATAGGTGTCAGAATAGGTGACTGTTTTAGAGGATAGGTTAGGGTTAGAAAAGGATCTAATTCATTGTCTCCATTCTGTGTGAGAAACGCAGAAGAAAGACTTAAAACATAAGAGGGGTCGAGCGGTGATCAAGAGAGACTGATCACTGGTGTGGTAATAGTTTTCAAAAGCAGAATAAAACCCGATTTATATTAGTTTATCAGATAGATAGCTAAATACATAGATAGATCTAATAAGTTAATAATTTGGATTTATTATTCATCATAAAAAGTTTAAAACATTCAACCTAATTATCACCATGTAAAAGCATTTGTAAATAAATTCTAGTATTCTCATGGAAATTGCATTTCCAAAAAGATTACATTGACAATATGTGCACCATACCCACTCGTAAATTTTGGGACTTGTCGAAACTTAGTGCAATTCATGCATCTATCAATAATCAACCAAAATGAAACTATTAACACAAACAAATAATAGTAGATAATACCAATAATAATAAATAGCACTCATTGGAGGAACGACACAAAATACACGAAACTATTATTATAGAAAAGAAACAACATTAAATAAATTATCTTTCATGACAGGAGTGTGTATAAAATGTGTAATATGGATATAATAATAATAATAATAATAATAATAATAATAATAATAATAAGAAGAAGAAGAAGAAGAAGAAGAAGAAGGAAAAGAAGGAAAAGAAGGAAAAATAACACAATATATGTTCTATTAAGTAAAAAAAATTTCGCAGCAAAAAGGTTCTTCTGTGACTGCAAATATCAGTTGCTTGTAAAGAAGATGACTGTTGAAAACACTCATA